TTTTGAGCCAGCCCTACCCCCAAGGGCTGTAGGGTGGGGCTCAAAGGAGTCACTGTGCTAAAATTTCTTCATTTTCCTTGTTTAGAATCAGAGGTGCTAGTTTCAAATACTTTTTAGTCTGAAATCTGTGTGCTAGTTATTAAATAAGGTGGTTTTATTGTTTTTTGTCACTTTGAATAATATTTCTGTTCATGTTAAAAACAAAATCAACTCTCTGTATAAATATATCAGGTGACCATTCAGGCCCATGGGCCTCTTGCTTTGTCTGGCAATCTCCTTCTACATTTTTGAACGGATCTCTTTGAAACTTGGTATACATTATAATCATGATATGAAGTTGTGTCTCCCTTAAAAGAATTTTGATTCAACAATTTTTGCAAAAGTTCTTGCCCTTTGTTCATTTCAGTATTTGATTTTTTGTCCGGAAATTTTCTCTTATTGCGCAGACAAATATATACGTCCGCGCAATGAATGAGTGCTTTCTGATTCGTTAGAAAAACACAAGTGTGTGGTCTTGCTTTTATCACATACCTTCCGTATTTGGTAGAGATCAATACAAAGATTTTATGAACTTTGATACTTTTTGCAAATACCGGGAACTTTTCAGTTCGCCATGACAAGGGAATTCCCATAAAAAGAAGATCCGCTAGTAGGTAAATACAGCATTCCGTATTGCACATGTGCAATACAGAACGTTGTATTTCATGGTCTGAAAATTGCTTGTATTACTATAACAAGATTCAACAGGTATGTGATAAAACACTATATGGCATTCGACGGGCTATATTGTTCCGCCCCGCAGTACTCTTGTTCATTTTGACAAAAAAAAAAAAATCTTTTTCATTTATCTTTTGGTATTTTAACAAGGGAAGAGGATATATTTCTATGTACTGGGTTACACAAATTGTATAAATAGTTTTGTTTTAAAGGGATATGAAATATACTAATGGTATAATGGTATTGACAGATTTGCACAGGAATATCAGAGACTTCTGTATATATACACCAATTTGTAACTATTTTAAATGATTTTGCAGGACAGGGGGACACAGAAGTATGATTTAGTATTGGTTGGTCACTCCCTTGGAGCTGGTACAGCTTCCATCCTCGCCATACTGCTGCGACAAGAGTACCCTACTCTCCATTGCTACGCCTTCTCTCCTCCCGGGGGGCTGCTCAGGTACCAAATAGTGGCAAATATTACACCTTTACAATTCAAAACAAATACCAGGTACATATAGGTAATGAAAGAAGATGTAATGTAAATGTTATTTTGAATGACAGGAGTACACATACAATTTTGGATCATTAAATAAAAAGAAAAAAGGATTTTAATTATTTGTACACATAGAACAGAATATGATGTTAATGTTAGTTTAAAACACAGGCATACACATCAGTCATGAAAACAAAACAAAAATGATTTTAACTGATTCAGAATATGTACAGTAGTAATATGTAATTTCATATTTTACAGTGATGTTTGTGTCGACGAAACCAAATCCTTCATAACTTCTGTGGTTGTAGGAAAAGATGTTGTTCCTCGGTAAGTGGTGTTATTTTTTTGGGTAAAGCCCCACATTAAGATCTCCTTTGGCTTAGGTTTGCTGGGCGTATTTATCATTTCAGTTCATCATAATAATTATGTTTGAGTAATCGGTCATCTCATCCAAAATTTGGTGGAAATTTGATGTAAATATACAGTATGTCATTATCTCCTTATTCTATCTTCCTTTTTCTTCCTTTACTTCAAACTTTCACCAATTTCACTACTCTTATATAAGTTGCATATAAATCCAGGTAGGTTTCAATCACAACACGCTCAAGCGTTACCAATGCGTGGGTTTTTATTACGGTCAACTAGTTTCGACTCTATGTGCGAGTCTTCATCAGGACATTTTTTCAAGATATTTCAGCCCCTGAAGTACTAAAAATTGGGTGCAGTTTTACATTGTTAGTTATTACATGACGTCATCAATAGATAGATAATACACAATAGTGAAGGTCGGGTAAGCCCTTCTTAGAGGTTCTAACTTTATAGATATGCTGTGATTATTAAAAATGTCTTTCTCTGAAATTCAAACTTATTGTTCACATGTAGTTTTATATATATTAACGTGCTACGGTATTTCTGTAGATGATTTTATGATATTTATGAATACAATAAACAAATAAACATGCATAATATTATAGTGTTTTTGTTATATATTCGTAGAGTGTTTGTTTGATTAATTTAGTTCATCCTGGCGCCATGTGCCGCTTGACAGTGAAATATTTGTTGGCTGTTTTTCTCTTCTGCCCTCACTTGAAGTGTCTGACGATGAAGTGGTTGTCACTTATCATCAGGTCTTCTTTGAGAGTGTCCATTGTTTCCTCCATGATTGGTCTGATTGTAGATGCCGGTCCCGAAGTTGTTATTCCGGTGTCCGGTCGTACTCTGAATTTTACATTGTCTAATTTTTTTTTGGTTAAGGCTTCCGCCGGTTTGTGCCATTTATTGGGCACCGCGGCTAAGTCTGTAGTTGTTTCTTCCCTCAGTTCTGGTTCGATTTTATATAAGGGGTGTTCATTCTGTTGGTGGCGTTTATAATGTTCTCTCCTGCCGTATGCCCGTTTGCAACGTTTGCCCAGAAACACCCAGAAACACATCCCACTGGTCTGGTGGAGATATATAGATGACATATTTTTCGTTTGGCCACACACCCGAGAGGACCTTACCTCCTTTTTAGAAGCCTTAAACTCAGGTCACGCCACCATCAAATTTACGTCGGAAATCAGTAAAGTGTCAGTGGACTTCCTCGACACCACTGTATTTTTTAACGAGGATGGGACACTAGGTAGCCGTATCCACAATAAACCCACTAATGCTTTCCAACATCTGCACTTTCAAAGTAGCCACCCTAAACACCAGAAAGAAAACATCCCGTACTCCCAGGCATTACGTATCAGAAAAATATGTAGCGCAGACACAGACTTCGAACTAGAATGCCACCTACTCCGCGAACGTTTCCTTAATAGGGGTTACCCACCTTTACTTATCAATAAAGCTATCGAGAAAGCAAGAAACACCACAAGAATCAGTTTATTAGAAATCTAAGACCAAAAACAGGTGAACGAAGTCACTCCTTTCGTTCTCCCATTTAACCCAAACAACCCAAACCTAGGGCAGATCATAAGAAACAATGAACACATACTTAAGTACAACCCGGAAACAAAGAAAATCTTAACCTCAAGAATGTTAGTAGCCTATACCAAATCTAAATCAATCAGAAACTATCTGGTACGCAGTGACTTCACTAGTGACTATCTGCCAGCCGGCCATGTGGAAAAAACTGCAGAATCTGCAAACACATGAACGTATGTGACACGTTCACTAGCCACACCACCAAACAAACACACAAAATTAAAAACAGCATAAACTGTCAGAGCATTAATGCGGTATATGTCATAAACTGCAAGAAATGCCAACTACAATACGTAGGTCAAACGTCCAACACAATAAACACCAGTTCCAGAAATCACCTCTACGACACTGCGCGCCAAGATGAGCGCAAGCCAGTCGCGGCACATTTCAATGCACCTGGACACAATGCTGATGACGTTATGGTTACAGGCATTGTGTCAGGTATACATAACATCAACAACCGGCTAAGAACGGAAGAAGTGTGGATTCATATCTTGAAAACACAACGACCGTGGGGAATGAACATCATCACCTAAAATAAAAGAAATAATGGCAAATACGAAAAACTACAAAAGCAAAGAACTCAACTATTATAGCGAAGCCAGCAGCCAACAATAAAGCCATAAAGAAACTAAAAGCTCTGAGACCTAAATTACGGCTCCCGTGCATTCTGTGTGGGAGCACGTTCGGTGCACTATGGAGCCTGCGCCGACATGTCAATCTCAGACAAGGCAGAGGAAAGCAGACAAGTTATGTTTGCAAAATTTGCAAACGGGCATACGGCAGGAGAGAACATTATAAACGCCACCAACAGAATGAACACCCCTTACATAAAATCGAACCAGAAGTGAAGGAGGAAACAACTAAGGACTTAGCCGCGGTGCCCAATAAATGGCACAAACCGGCGGAAGCCTTAACCAAAAACAATTAGACAATGTAAAATTCAGAGTACGACCGGACACTGGAATAACAACTTCGGGACCGGCATCTACAATCAGACCAATCATGGAGGAAACAATGGACACTCTCAAAGAAGACCTGATGATAAGTGACAACCACTTCATCGTCAGACACTTCAAGTGAGGGCAGAAGAGAAAAACAGCCAACAAATATTTCACTGTCAAGCGGCACATGGCGCCAGGATGAACTAAATTAATCAAACAAACACTCTACGAATATATAACAAAAACACTATAATATTATGCATGTTTATTTGTTTATTGTATTCATAAATATCATAAAATCATCTACAGAAATACCGTAGCACATTAATATATATAAAACTACATGTGAACAATAAGTTTGAATTTCAGAGAAAGACATTTTTAATAATCACAGCATATCTATAAAGTTAAAACATCTAAGAAGGGCTTACCCGACCTTCACTATTGTGTATTATCTATCTATTGATGACGTCATGTAATAACTAACAATGTAAAACTGCACCCCATTTTTAGTACTTCAGGGGCTGAAATATCTTGAAAAAATGTCCTGATGAAGACTCGCACATAGAGTCGAAACTAGTTGACCGTAATAAAAACCCACGCATTGGTAACGCTTGAGCGTGTTGTGATTGAAACCTACCTGGATTTATATGCAACTTTTTATTCAATCGCCCTGCATACCTTTCGGTATCCACACTCACAGCGAAGTACCCCGCCTACTCAACCAACCTACTCAACATTGATGTTGGCTCTATCTCGCATGTTAATCTTCTATAAGTTATATTACCGTTAGGCCATGGATGAACCTTCAACACTGACAGGCTGTAAAAGTGTTATATGTATCCAACTATAGACCATATATTTACTTTTTCTACTGACAGGCCATAAATGTGTAGTATATGTTCAGTGTGACATTAAAATAAAAAGACATGTGCACTCATTGGGTACCCTAGCAATCTTTAAACTACCTGCCTGAATATCAAGTAGTGGTTAGCCAAGTTCTGTTTAGTAGGTGGGTTTTTTCATATTGAAAATTACTTATTCAAACACTAAAAACAGTGGGCAAAAATCTGTTGCTGTTTAAAGCACAGATGTGAAAGTTTTCATGAAAAATTTAAAGATTCATAATCATTATGGATTAAATAAAATATATTTTTGTCACAGTTATTATGTAAAACAGAGCCTTAAAACGCAATAATGATGACATTAATACGATATTGATTTTCATGTTAAATTCTATTTCAGAATTGGTCTTTCCCAGTTGGAAGTTTTGAGAACAGATTTAATTAATGTAATAAAAAATAGTACACAGCCTAAGGTGAGAATGAATGATAACAAATCTCAATTATAAATGTCAGAGGACATTATTTTAATCAAAATAAGCCTGAGAGACAGATTTTTTTCTTGACTGATTCGGAAAAAATAATGTGTTGGCTATCAGATTTATAGTTAATTGAGTCTTGAAATTTTGTTAACTTCAATATTCATGAAAATGTGATCATGTAAATTTTACTCAAGTATGATGAAGGCAGTTCAACAGTTGTCTTTAGATTTCTATTTGTTGTTCTGTAATTTAATTACAGCAGCACCTCGTTCTCTCTTACAGGTCAAAATAGATGTATAAAGGAGGTGAAATTAAGTCAAATTGGTCTATTCAAATGATTAAGGGTACTGTAAACCAAATTATTAACCTCTCTAAATTATCACCTTTGGTTGTTTCAAAGGTATATTGGCCTTGTGTTGAGTCTCCCTCTTACTTATAAAACAAGTGGCCAAGTAAATTTAGTTTATCATAGTGATATCACTTAATCATTACAGTGATATCTCACCAAATCAAGATTGTGATGTCGCCATGATGAATTGACCATATCACTACATACTATGATATGGCAGAATCAGTGAAAGTAATACACATGTGACAAATTCTACTTATTACAGAAATAACATGGGTAACCTATCATAGGTAAGATTGAAAAGAAAAAAGTGACTACAGAAAATACCACAAAATGATCTACTTAATTGATACAAGATTGGCTATCAATGATTCACTGTGCTCTATTTCAGTGGAAGATAATAGCACGAGGGTTATGTTGTGGGTCAGAAGATGCAGAGAAGCTGACTTTAGATGACATTCAGATGGAGGTAGAGCGTGACAACACCGCCCATCCCCTCGACTCCCAGATTGGCCTGTCCACACACCGCCCCCTCTACCCACCCGGCAAGATCATTCACGTCGTCAGGAGTCACCCACGTGGAAAAAAGTGAGAGAACATTAGATTGTGATAGTCAGGGCAGTCTCCTCATCAACAGTTTCGTTGTATAAGTAATGCTATATTTATATAGAAATTACTACAATTCATTAATACACTGTATATGAAGACTGCTGTGTGTTTAAGTTTATATTGAATAACATATTAATATAAAATAATATGGAAATATTCTCAAATTTTTACATCATATTTTCCTTGAATGATATCATCAATAGAAAGGAAGTATTGAAGGTTTTAGATTCCAGTGAAAATATTTTTGTTAAGAAATATATTAAAACTAAAAAAATATTTGTCACACATACATAATTATGCCCCCCCCCCCTTGCTTGGATGAAAATGGAGTCTCAACAAAGTTAGTGACATGTAAAATATAGGCCACAGGAATCTGTATTTAATAAATGGTGAAACATTCCTCATGAAGTATCTGCCTATAAACTCTGATGATGATAGAACTGCTGGTATCGGAGAAATAAAGCTGTTCACAAAGTAAAACTACAGCAATGGAGCTAAATGCAAAGTGTAACCAAACGCAGTGAAGTGGAATATATAGGTCACAGTGACCTAAAAGTCACGTGATGGTGTAGTACTTCCGAATACCTTTCTGCATTCCTGGGTTCTTTGGTTTTCTTCGTCATTAAGACTCTCTGCATGCATTGATTCAAGCCAACAAGAGTGATTAATATAAGTTGGAAAAATTTGTGACAGATTGTATATACTTACAGAAAGCGTCTATGTGGATCCGGGGAGCCAGTGTTCCAGGCCGTATGGGCACACAACACCAGCTTTGATGAAGTCATTGTGTCCCCCACCATGATAAACGATCACATGCCTGACAATGTTATGGATGCCTTGGAGAAGGTAGGCCTGTGAAATTTGTTTTTAGCCTGATAGGCAAACATAAATCCCATCAAACTGTTGAAAGGGTTTGAAGGTTGCCACAAAAAATATACAATTTTAACAATATAATAATGAAAATGACCAGCAAATAAGTAACAGTTCATTTTTGAAAATCAATTTCTGCATTGTCACATTTGTTAAGAATTGTCCCTTTTGTCATACTATGTTGACTTTTAACTCACCTGGTTGAAAGTATCAGGGGGATATCCCCTGGTATATGTGATGGTGTTTCATCTGCCGTCTGTTGTCTGTCCCTAGTTCTGCTTTAAATTACATTGCTTCCCAAATTAATTAATCAAAAAAAAAATGATGCTTGAATACTTAGATCACAGGGATTAAATTTTGTACATGAAAAGGACTGACAATTCTGGTGGCTGGTTAAAAAGAGGTCAAATTTGGGGTCTCTCTTTCCAAACTACTGGGCAGTTTCAACTCAATGTCCAAAATAGCCAGATGAGTGATGCAACATCCTTGGGCCTATTGTTAATAAATTGTCTTTTCTTAAATAAAAAGTTATATACTGTATTACCTTGGCTGACCCATTGAGGATTGCTTCGGTACTTTCAAATTGCATTTCCAAAGTAGCTTACACTACTGTCTACATTTATAAAAAGTGAATGTAACTATGTTGATTGTTGGACACTATCGGTGAAATTCATATGCATACTATATAGGATATATTGAACATATTTTATGATCATTGTAAGATTTCACATATGAAAAAGAATCTGAATTTGAGATGGATTTGTTAAAACAATTTAGATAACATATAGACTATACTAATACTGTAGGTTTAAAGTGATTACTTAACTCATCCACACAGTCCATACTCAACTTTCATCAGCAACTCAAGGTTTATATGATAAGCATGCTGAAAGAATTGTTGCCAGTATCCTGAGGACTTTTGATCAATTTCCTCTTTTTATTGAAGGTTCTGGTGAATGTGGCACCTCCGAAACCTAACCGGACATTAACTGAGGCAGAAAGAAAGGCCTTTCTTCAAAAACGCTCGCCATCAGTGGAATCTGAGAATTCTAATCACAAACTGATCATACAGGAGGACTTCACTATAGGTAAAACAGCCCCAGTGTGTAATCAGTTACCATTATATAAGCCACATCATCAATCATTGCCCCCTCTTTTCTCCTGGGACCATGCTGCAGAAGAACACCGGTTCCTATTGGATAAAGATTTTCTGCATCCCGGTGATCCTGGCAAACAAGAGCTATATCTAGACCTGGGAACAGACACCATCACTGCACCACTAGCCAGTCCAGAAACTTTGTCAGAAATATCAAGTGTCGGAAGTGCTTTGAGTCGAATTGGCAGCTTGAACAAGGACAATAAACGACGCTCCATCATAATTCCTCAGGTTCTGGAGACCATCCAACAATCGCCAGTGAGTAAAAACAAAGTGGGAGACTTCCCACCTATTACAGAACCTATACATCTCAACGGCCAGGTGAGCAAAACACCACAGATTGGAAATTGTTTGCATATTAAGACAGATGTTGTGATTGAAAGTCCCCCAAAAATTCGACACGAATCTGATAAATCTACAAAACGTGTTAATGATTCACTAGTGCCATTGCTTTGTGATAGTACAGACCAGGACAATTGTGATATTGTTGGCAATGGTTCACACGAGTTCCAGAACAAAGTATACAACCGACATTCCCCGGTCGACGGAAACCAGTACGAGTACGGCAATCCCAATGTGTATTACTCTGCGGGAGGAATAGGTTACCCCCACGGGAGTGGGGCCTATCATCCGCCCACATGTAACGTTAACACAGAAGGTATCTGTACGGAGTGCATGAATCATTCCTTGTCAGATGTGCATTCACCTCAAGAGGAAGATTCAATCATCAAGTGCTCTCAGTCAGAATCTCAGTTACTGCATCTCTCTGCAAGGTACGTTATGAAACGTTCCACGGAACAGAGGGACATTGCTCACCTACAAGACAGTATGGAAGTTTTTCAAGGAGATGCCACTTCTCAAGAGTCACAACAAACTACAAACTCACATAGATCTCGCCTGCTTCTGAAGGGAGCTAATCCAATCACTTCAGAAGGGACACAAGCCAGTACTAATTCCCTGGAGGACGACTCGGACCGGCGCCTGTCTTCATCACACTCGGACGAAGTCTTTGATTTACCATTAGAGGAAACTGATGTATGAATTTTTTGGTGCTATATATATTGATTTTGCATCTCATAATATATGTTACGATTAAGAGTAGAAGTTTGATTTTTCCTCCATGGTAGTTCTTTGTTTAGGTATTTTGCAGTTAAATCATGGATTTTGTGTTTTAATTTATGATCACTTTTTGTTTTACAAGCTGCATATCATGGTAATAATTGTAGATCTGATGTACAGTTATTCCATCTTAGCACCCCCATATCTTCATCTTTGCTAGCCAAGTGTAAGTGAAGTGTATACGAAGTGAACACTTGGCTAAAGAAGATGCCATATCCTTGTTAATTCCTATTTATTTTTTGTTAAGTTTAAAAAAAAGTAATTTTGATTTATAATGTGAATAAAGAGTTAACCATTTATGACCTAGCATATTATGTACAGTAGAATGTTTGATGTTCATAAAATAAAAACATTTAAAAGTCCAAACATTGATTAATGTAAACTGATTACACTTTGTAGACAACAAGGACTTGTAATTGTAAACATTTAAAAAATATTAATTCTGATTTTTGGTTAATTCCAAATATATTTGAAGTCTCACTTCTTTCATCACAGTGCATTCAGATTTTAATTTTTATGAGTTCTAGTTATCAACTAGTCTGACAATGTATGGATTGATTTGGAGTGTAGTTTTATAACTTACAAAAATACGATATCCATTGATATTAGTATAGGTAAGACATACCAGTAATTCATATATGAAATAATGGAATCATTTTACTATTAGATGGTACCATTCTAGAAATAAAACAAAATAGTTCACATTTTATGAAAAGGAGTTTTTTTCATAGTTTATGGTAAAATAAATACCTTGGAAAATAAATAATAGAACATAAAGGATGAGATATTTTTTTTTTTAATTTCTGCAAATTAATAAAGAATATTAAAATGAAATTCCATCTGTTCTTACTTTGAGCATTAAATTTGATCAGCTGTGATTGACCAATTTATTGCATGTAATGTAATGTTATTTATGGGTTGTTTATGGTATTTGTCAATTGTGAATTCTTACATCTTGTATTGATTTAATTTACAAATGTGAAAACTGGTATTTTTTTGAAAGACGAAGTGAAGAGTATGTTATCTAATTATGAGAAAATTAACAGGATGGTTTGATAATAAGTAATTAGTTCCTGTATATTACATTTCGTTAACTTATAATAGTTTTCCTCTTGTTATTATTGTTTGTTAGTGAAGAAGAATGCAGTACCGGTAGATACCTATGTATGGAATGTTGTTAGTAGAGAAAAGTTGCTTTTAGGATACTTCATTCAGTTTCAATTAACGTTTTTTCATTTATCTGGAAAATTCATTAGTCTTGACTTTGCAAAAATGTCAGAACAAATCTGGATCAACTTAACACAAGGATATTATATTTCCTTTTCTTTTGTGATAAATATTTAGAAAAACCCCCCATTAAACCTTCTATGCTAAAAAGGTTCATCAAATAAATTTCAATATTAAAACAAATAGGATTGAATCATGCATGCATGTCAATTAAAAGACAGTTTTTGCATGTTTTGTTGTTTGAAAAGAAAACAATTACAACCATCAGATCAGGTCATCCATAAATGAAAAGTCACAAAAGTCCAATTCTTTTGTTATTATCAAGTCTGAATTAATGCATTAGAAGTATTTTTATGTTGTCTGAGAGCATCTGAAAGCTATTAGCAAAACTAACAGTTTCCACATACCTCTGCTTGACATCTTTCAATTTGACATTGGTCATATGTAAGGTAATTCTAATTTTCTCATTGTCCAGTGTTTTGGGGTCATTGGTAGAAGGCCACAGAAACTGAACTTTTTAAAATGTATACTGCTTTATCCTTTTTTCTCATTCTCTTTCATTTGATTGCCTTATTTGTGATGCAGAATTCTTCACATTATGAAATGTTGTTTACCTATCAACTTTAAATTCATGATAAGATTGTAACTCATGTTTTGTTATTAAATGAAACTTTTTTTTTTTTATCTTACTAACAGACTTTTTAGCATTCATCTATACCAAGTCATACTGGCTTGGGTCATTTCATTCCTGTTTCATTTTTATCAATAATGTCCTGATTTATCCTATGGTTGAAGTTTATTGTTGTTGTTTCTGTTATTGCAATGTGTTTGTACGGTTATTCCATAAATCTTGGTTTTATTTCCATTTGCAGGATAAGATAGACAATGAAGCACTGACACTAATCAACCATCATCTACCTTCCCAATATTCTTTTCAGTATTAGAGTTACCAATTTAAGTTAATTCTAAATATATATGTGATTTAATATTTTTAACATCATATGTTTTTTATTTGTGACTATTGAAATATGAAGTGATGAATTCAATGCAATTTGGAAAGTGAATATATATATGATGCAATGAAAACAGTTACGTGACTTTAACATTGTTTGCAATCTGTTTATGGCCGAAATCACAAGTTATATGTGAAGATGAAACATTGCAGTGCAGTGCATTTTACATATCATTTGATATTATTTCATGTTTTCAAGTTCACAAGATGATGTTGCAAAAGAAATGAAATTATCTGGACTCCTGTCACAAAGAGTAACCTCCCTTAGGACATCTGGCACATTTAATAGTCAACTGCACTATTTGGCATTAGAGGATAAGATCATTATGTCAAATTTAGTTTGAATCTTATATGTGAACATTATGGGATGGGAAATTTAAAAAAAAAAAAGGAATTGACTATTAAAAGCGATTTTTTAAAAGCTGAGATAATAGCATCCAAGATTTAAGAAAGGAAACTAAAACATAATTTGACTATTTGGATTTTTTTTAAACTGGAATTTGGATTTCTTGGAAACTTTTTTATATTATAATCTGTATTTATGTGTAATAATTGTGCAATATATCACAGATTTAGTGCTAGATGTGTTCTAAAGAATTATGAAAATCAGTATTTACACAGAAATGATATGATTGGTACATATGTTGGTGTTATTTCTTATTTATTTATTCTAGAAGATTCAATTTTTCAATTTACATATTTTTTCAACTTGTGCAATGAAATACAAATCAGTGTACTTAATAACAAGTTGTCATTTTAATAGCCATTGTACTTTATTCAGATGTTATTTGTTTGGATTAGATTTTACACTTAGATATTTCTGTCTGTATGTCTATGTTGAACAGATGTTACTTTTTGTCAGGTTGTAGGCAACTGTTATTACTTAACTCCATTCCATAAAGATACTGCTTAGTCAACACTAATTTTTGCAAAAATGAAACTAATAAAGTCAGAGAAATCTGTCATATTTGTTCACAAAATATAAACATATTTTATATTATAAGTCAGAAATTTGTTTTTGTTCCTTCAGTCACTTTTCTTTAGGTTTATTTACACAGAAACAAACTAACACAAAGGTCACATCTGAATTTCCAGATTTTGTAGTTTTTCATTCCTGATATTTCATGTTCTGTTATTTTTCATCTAGATAAATGATACTAAATCCATTTTTATCTACAAACTTAGAATTTGTGAATGTTTAAAAGTTGTTTTTATTCTAGCTTGATATAGAGCATCCAAGTATTTATTTGATTTGTGTGGACCACAATTCTTCCTGATTCATAGTTGTTATGTCTCCTCTTTAAATGAAAGAAGGTCAGAAATGCAAGTTCTTCTGATCACATATTCCCTGGGCAATTTTTTTAAAATCATCAAGGTACCTTGATAAAAATTGAAATACACCTGCATCATTCACAGGTGTGTAATGCACAACTGCCTAATTATCTAAGTAACTATGGGTTACCATGACTTTCAGTTCAAAGGTCTAATTAAGTGGAATTTTTTCATGATTTTTTTTCCTGACCATGATTTATTTTGAAGTGTTAAACGTATCTTGAAGAAATCTTACATGTATGGTCACTATGACCTTTACCACTAGTTCATAAGGCAGATAAGTGTATGGGAAGCACATTTTAACTTGTTAAGAATTTCCTTTTTGAAACTAAATGTGTACCTGCTTCCATTTGGTGACCTTCTAGGTCAAATAAGTGCAAAGCAAACATGCATGTGCCTGTAAGGGGAGACATGAGAACAAAAACACATCTGTAGTTACTCTTTGATGTTATAGAGACGAAGTATTAGTATAGATTACCCTGTAGTATTTAATGACTAGAGTTTCAATTCTGTGCCTAGTTTCTCCTATATTTTCCCCCATAGTGCTATATCTTTTGTATCCTTAAATATAGTTATCCTTACTTGTGATAGATGAGTGTAATTCTTGAGAAAATGATAGCTATTTTCGCAGAGTATTTTTAGATTTTAAAAACTCTTCGTCTTTCATGAGTGTACTTTAACTTATTTTGTAATATTAGGAATACCTTCATCCTACATACTTTAGCATCATCGGCTTATCATCTCATACTTATAGTAGTTTATGGTGTTTTCAGTGATCACCGATACTTAAAACACCAAAGCAATAATCACTTTGTTAAAATTTGTTTATAATAAAACTATATTTCAATTTTGTATGCCTCCTTGTTATTTTTGTTCCTTTTCAAAATCAGGGGCTGCGGTGGCCAAGTGGTTAAGGCGTCTGACATTCTGCTTCCACTAGCCCTCCACCACTAGGTTGGTGGTTTTTCTCCGGGAACTACGACTTTCCTCCACCACCAAAACCTGGCACGTCCTCGAACGGCCAATGGGCCTGAATCGCTCACCTGGTATTAATCTCACACTTGTAATCTTAAAAGTGGACTAAAATACATATACAGGCAGAATATCAGCGATTGATAAGCATTTGCATATATAGTTTATGGGTGGGGATCTCAACCGTTTCAAAGTTATGACCCAGGGGTTAAGTCTGCAAGGGTGGGGCAGACCTTGGGATCAATTCTTATATCATGACTGCATTTGTCTCTTTATGCCCAACAATTGTATATATATAGTTTTGGGGTGGGGATCTCAACTATTTCCATGTGATAAAGNGGGTGGGGCAGACCTTGGGGTCAATTCTAATATCATGACTGCATTCATCCCTTTATGCCCAACAATTGTATATATAGTTTTGGGGAGGGGATCTCAACTATTTCCATGTGATAAAGTTTTTTTGGCCCCACCCCTTAGCCTGGGGGGTCAGCCCCACCATTTGTACAATTTTGAATCCCTGCCTCCCATGAATACTTCCGACCATATATGATCGATATCCATGGCATAGTTCTACAGAAGAAGTCGTTTATAGCGATAGCCAAATTGCCCCCCTTTGGCCCTGCCCCTCAGCCCCACCATTTGTACAATTTTGAATCTCCACCATCTAGGTATGCTTCCAGTCAAATATAGTTGATATCCATCTCTTAGTTCCAGAGAAGACGCTTAAAGCAATCTAGCCAAATAACCCTTTTTGGCCCCGCCCCTCAGCCCCCTGGGGGATCAGCCACACCATTTGTACAATTTTGAATCCCTGCCTCCCATGAATGTTTTTGAATAAATATTATCGATATCCAGTGCATAGTTCTACAGAAGAAGTCGTTTGTAGAAATATAGCCAAATTGCCCACTTTTGGCTCAGCCCCACCATTTGTACAATTTCAAATTCTTTACTGGAGCTAAAATTCTTAGCCGAGGAAAGTTGTTGAGGAACTTCATCTAAACATTGATTGGTTACCAGAATATTGTTATTGTCACACTGACACAACCTTGGTTGCAGATAAGTAAAATAATGCCCATTTTAATTATTTAAATATTTTGGTATTTTTTTTCGTGCTTTCTTTCCGATATGCCCTGGAAAAAGTAATGCATTTATTTATTTATCACGAGAAGAAGCATGATTATTTTGTTTCTGTACCAATATTTCTAGAAAATTAAATACTTTCCATTTGTTATACAACTTGTAGAATTGTCTCCTTCTCCAGCAAAAATACAGCTGACAACTTACCTGTTTCGACTGTATGCATATGTAACATTTATATGGTATGCTTTCGTTTGGACCTTCCATTCCATTGGCTTGGATCACAAAACTTTGTTAACCATGCAAAATGCTTTTTTATTATCTAATTCCTGTGGTCTTAACACTCTAAACAGTCAAGTGTGGGGAAAAACAATGAGCATGAATTGAGACCATAAAAGTCTTGGATCAGAACAACTTTTTCTAAACGCATTGCAAATATATACAAAGTGTAAGGCATACTTTGAAAATTCTACTACCCCGACATATAGTTTTCCACTTTAGAATATTTCAATATCCCAGAAATAAGATCTACGGGTTTCACTGCGTTTGTCCAAACTAGTTTCTTAAAGACTACTTGAGATCTTGTCAGTATGTAAAATCAAACACAAATAGCACTTTGATATATCATGTAAATCTTCGATGGAAATTAGTTCTTAATACATGGATTTTCATTACTTGCTATGGGAAAGTTTGCATAACCCTGAAACTGAAGGCTGGAATCGGTCGAGAGGCTAAAAATGTTCATCTTTGCTGTGGCCAGGTGTTGAAGCAAGCGTTTTCATAGACTAAGTGGTTCACTAAACAATTCTCTACAGTATGGATACAGATTACAACTACTAAGTAACTGGGCCCACTTGTATAAAACATCTCAACTCTTCGAGATTTCCCATACGCAATACATTGCTTGAGATTTTGCTCAACTTTGAGATGTTTTATACAAGTGGGCCCAGGATACAGATTACAACTACTAAGTAACTGGATACAGATTACAACTACTAAGTAACTGGATACAGATTACAACTACCAAATAACTGCATGGATACAGATTTCAACTACCAAATAACACTCATACGAAATGTACTGAAATCTGCACTGCAGACTTAATTCTTGTGATAAAGCCATATCTATCAAATTATTACAAACAAGACTTCAGTCAATGAGGGACAATTCTGAAAATGGACTCTGCCCATACTGACCACCTTTCAATACAAATGACCTGGGCCCATTTTGCCGTTTAAATGCTCTCTATTATTTTTCTTCTTTTTTTTAAAGTTCTTATCCAACTACCACTACTATTTCTTTTTTTGAGATTCATCCCAGGCATTCACTCAAGTCTTTCAAACAGAAAACAAAAACATTAACAAAAGATTAAAATTTTACATTTTTTTTTTTATTATTTTCATCTCTTTTCTTTCTTGTGCCCATGATTTCTTTTTATAATGTTTTTGGCATTAATCTTTCAAAAAAGTTCTTCCAGGAATGTTATTCACATGTAACAGAGTGTTTATAAGGTATTTTAGTAGGCAACACATTCTGGGCAAAATGTTCAACACTGCAAGAAGCTTCCACGCGGAGCGTCTCGGGTTTAGGATTCATTGATGGACTCCTTGTCGTACAAGTACTCCCCAAGACCAGGTCCCACACGTTTAAGGTTGGTGATGTGGTCCGAGATCTCCTTGATGGCGTTCACCTGTTCCTCCAGATACTCGCCCTCAAGGAAGTCCATGAACTGGAGAGAAAAAATAAAACAACAATAAAATATTGAATGGTGACCAAACAACAAAAACATGATTTCAATTTTTTCTACGAAATAATATTATCTTTATCAACATAGAAATGTCGTTGCATTGAGCAAAGATAATGTAGTTTTCTGAACCTCTTTTGAGAAATATTTGATGATTTTCAATATTTAGCGTAATTTCGTTTGAAGAATTACACACCTGAGAATCACCATGTTTGTCCCCAACAGCGTGGAGGTCCAGGAGAGATTGGTTTACGTTCTTCTCCAGAGCCAGTGCAACCTGCATGGCCTCCAGGGCACTTCCCCACTCATCCTTGTCGGGCTTCTGTTGGAGGTAAATAAACCATATAAATAAAATAGTTTTTTTTATAATATTTTACAATTTGAAAGCGTGTTATGTGTTTACCATGAATATTGAACGATTATTTGTAAAATCCCATCATTCCACTGCTACTTTCATTTCAAAAATTTCAGATTTGAAAATGTGCCTGTTAAATTTACCTTGATATCCTGAAGGACAACCCTGCCTCCCCTCTTGTTCTGGTACTTCATGAACTTCTCAGCATGTTCACGTTCCTCATCTGTGGCCTTCTTGAAGTATTTTGCAAAGCCAGGGAGAGCAACATCATCACGGTCGAAGTAAAACGACTGAAAATAAAAACAGTTAAATGTTTAATAATATTCAAATTCGTTTACTTAGTCAAAGTCATCAACAACGGTTGAAGAAATTGCCATATACTGGGAACCAATATCTTGCACTCAAACTGACAGTATTCTTTATTTGGTTTCTATGCCCTACCTTGTCACACACTACAATAGCTACTGTTAGTCATGTGTAAAGGGAGACAACTCAAATTTGTGGACAATAAACCTTCACAAATATCCCTCCGTGGGCCCCTTAGAATATGTATCTTGTAAACAAATGCAAGGTCACCAAAGTAAATCGTTGGATACGAGTAGATCTACTGTATGTATACAATCGTGACATGCATCGAAAACTTAACTTATACATTTTGATTATTGCATTGCAGTTAAAAATGAGAATACACTTGAAGTTTACTCACCATAGACTGGTAACAGTAGCTGGCGTACAACTCCATGTTGATCTGGCGGTTGATTCCAGCTTCGGTCTCCACATTGAAGTTCTGGCGAGGTTGTGTCTGTGCCATTTTGTTCTTCAGATGTCAGGTAAACAACGATGTTATTCTTTGTTGTTAATGAAATGTTAAAAATACGGAGGATAAATTTGCCCGTACGTTCACTGACGTCGCAAGACAAATGTTATCAATATGGCGTGTTTCTTCAGCCGCGGATATATATACTAGTCAGCTTGTGACGTCATAATCGGGTAGGGCACGGTCGCTGCCACGTGATAAATGACTTGCATAAATATTCCACTGTATGTAAAGGTTACAGCTAATTATGGATATCAGTGACACACGCAGGTAAACAAGGACAACGAACAGATCTAAAGTGCTATATAGCTGAGGTGCGGTGCATCGGATCCGAATGAGATATACGGCTTTTCAGAACCAGTCCATATAGCTTACCCAGAGGGAAGATAGACCACTTATTTCCTCACGTCGACCGAATGTAACGTTAGACAACGTGACGATGAAGCTCATGCATCGAAGTCAATAGACCATTAAACCAACTATTAATTTCAGATTAGATGCTTTATAATACTCCAAAATATGCTTACAAAGCCGTCGACCACCATGAACCACGAGAACCATAAGTCCGTGATGTCAGTCAAGGCTCATAATTTTGCCCCTAACCCGCCTCCAACAGACACAACAGCCTTGATCCTCGCATGAAATGTAGCTCTAGGTAACTAGGAAATACATAAATTGTCAAATTATATGTTATTCCTAGGCTAGGAATTCGCCATGTTGGGGACTTATATTAGCGATGCGTGTTACAGGGCGTGAGACTCGATATTATTATTGTTGTAAGCCGATGTTCTAAATCATGACCGTTCTAAATCATGACCGGGGCTCTTTTGGGATATTCAACTAAAATGCAAATACACTAATAACCTTAATTAAAAATGGTCTTGAGTGTAATATAAGCATTATTTATAGTATATCCTGTTTAGATATTTGACAAGCACCCTCTCTTATGTGTGTACAAGAATAATTCAGAAGGTGGTTTCTGAGAAACACATATCAGTTTGAATCTTCTTTTTAATCTCAAACTTTCTGAAAAATACTAGATATAAGATTTGCTTTAAGTTGTCGCAAACTCTTCACATTTTAGAAATTAATTGTCTTTTTATCATGTCTTAAAAGTAGACAACTATCACATTTCCTTGATTCAAACTTGTCTATATATTACAATTCTATGGTAGGACCTAATCTATTCACATTTTCCCAAATTAAACCAGAGACGTATAGAGCCACACATACGTCTCGGAGTACACGGATCGGAACACAATAACTTGTGGGAACAGGTCTGCGTCAATACGTACGCAAGGACAAATCGGTGCTCAAATTAACTGAATACAGTAGACAACAACACGCCAGGAACTGAGGAAATATATGGGTATAGGCCTAAGATGGTCAAAATATAAACCGGAGACCCAGAGAACCTGTATAGTTCCTAGAAGATTCCTGCACCGGGTGTGGAACCAGTCATCATGTCTTCTGTCAACCACAGGGAATTGAGAATTTGTTACAGCTATATTTGTTACAGCTGATTTGTTACAGCTATATTTGGACATAAACTAAGGTGTACTGAGTAATTTAACATGTTTTAGGGGTTTAGATCGACTTAAATCGGTAAAAATCGGTAACGATTCTCAGGGCCTGTGCTGTCAACCACAGGCCAGGGTGGGAAACACGTCTTACCACGGAATAAGTCCATGGTCTTACCAAAGACCATTATATAGGACGATGTCATGAACGACAGACATTTGTCTTTCCTTTAAAGTGAGTTTAATGAACGACAACTCTGGTGGATGTCATTCCTTAATGTAAGGTTCCACATATGCTGTTAGTATATGCAAGATATTGTTGGACATACGTTACCATAGACATTACAACACATGTAATTCTACTCAGTTTACAGTAATCTCATTAATTGATTGTGTTTGTATCATATCATTGTTTTATGTAATCTCTTTATGCATTCATGTACTATATGTGTTTGAGGGCCGCATCGAAGATTAGTCTTGTACTAAATGTGTAACCCTCTTTAAATAAAGTTATTATATTATTATTATTATTATTATTATTATTATAGAGATTGTAGCTGAAGATCTCATCATTGATTCATTGTAGTTGACACCGTTGTGCGCATTGAATCACTTTTTAAGGTGCTTCTGATACTGGTGAAATGTATGTACATCTGAATAGGTGCATGTAAAAGGGTTGCATACTAATTTCATTTAAAATATGAGTATTCAGTTATAAACAGGTGTCACAAGCCTGTATACATCATAAGTATCAGAATAAATGGTTATTATACAATTTACTAAGTATACACACATTGTAACTAATTAATTTCAGACCTGGCCATTGACCTATACTTGGAAGTATATTTATTGAAAGGTTTCGTGGGATTAAAAAATGCTATAATTAATTGGTGTTAGGGAAGCCTGTACGTATTTCCACAGCTAATTCGTAGAAACCTGGTTCAAACTTATTGGGGTGATGTTCCCAGTGTTTATCTTACCTGGTCTTAAAAGAAAACAGGGATGGGACATTTACCACTTGTTCAGAAAGACTATTCCAGTTATTTACAATTCTTAACTTAAACGAGTGGCCACGCAGATTACTTCTGCACCTTAGTTTTTCTAGGTTCTGGTTGTGTCCTCTGGTTGTTCTTGTTACATTGATTTTTATAAAGTCATCTTTGATGTTATCAATCCCATTAATGAACTTGAAAGTTTGCCTGACCTAAGTCTCCTGTACTCTATAATGGGTAGCGCAAGAGCCTGGAGTCTTTCAGGTTTAATGTGGGTTTTTTATGTTTCTGATTTAAACATATTTTTTTTTGCAAAAATACAAAAGGGATTAGACACAAGTTATAAAACGTAAAGTTTGCCTTCTCCCTGTTCTGCTGGATCCATTGCACGATATATCTTTGTATCATCGACAAACATTTTGGTCAGGTTATAATGACCCCGGGTAGGTCGGTTACATGCATGAGAAACAAGACTGACCCCATCACACTACCCTGGGGGACTCCACTTTTGACTTGACATGTGCTGGATTCACATCCATTTATTACCATTTTTTGCTCCATGTCACACAAGAAATCTGCAATCCACCTCAATATGTCCCCGTCGATGCCATACGTGTACTTCATCTAATGCCCTGTTATAGTCCAAATAGATAACACGCACATGCTTGTTTTCGTCAACATCTTCTGTCCAGTCAACAGCTATTGTCCATAGCTTCTGTCCAGTCGTCAACAGCTTCTGTCCATAGCTTCTGTCCAGTCGTCAACAGCTTCTGTCCAGTCAACAGCTTCTGTCCAGTCAAAAACAGCTTCTGTCCAGTCAACAGCTTCTGTCCCGTCAAAAACAGCTTCTGTCCAGTCAACAGCTTCTGTCCATAGCTTCTGTCCAGTCGTCAATAGCTTCTAATGGCTGTGTGGTGCAAGCCTTGTCACTTCTAAAACCGTGCTGCTCCGTGAAAATAGGTTGTTGTTGTCCATATGTTTTACTATTTCGTCTCTAATAGTTCGCTGGAACAGTTCACCCACACTTGATGTTATACTTATTGGCCTGTAATTTCCTGCATATTTCTTGTTCCCCTTTTTGAAAATTGGTGTGACACTTGCTTGATTCCACGATTTCAATAGACGATTTTCTGCCATAGATTTTTCGAAAATGTATTTTAAAGGCCCCTTTATTTGGTCAGCAGTTTCCTTTAAGAATTTGGGATGCATGTGGTCCGGACCAGCTGCTTTGTTTGCTTTCAATCTGCCAATAGTTTTGGTAGTTTTCCTCTGTGATATCAATCCTACTTATTTGCCTATCTGGGGAGTGATCTTGAAATTGAGGTAGTGGTTCTTGCCCCTCGTCCACAAAAAAACCCAAGAACGATGTGGTTGTTAAGTACCTCAGCCCTTTCTAGGTCATTTTTTTCGAGTTCTTATTTCCCTTTGTCAAGTCCTCTTTTGTCTTTGCTTTAGTTCGGACACATTTCCAAAAGTTTTGGTTCAGTTTTTATTTATAGGTGTTGTCCTTGATTTTTGGTAGGATTTGAAGTTTGAGGCAGCTTTACAGTGTACATATATCTTCCATTTTCCCCTTTTGAGCTTAACTGCTTCAGGAGTCTTCTTGTCGAGAACATGGTCATTAATACCTTTTCCCATTCGTCCTTTACTCACTGGTACATTTTGTTAAACAACTTTAGATATTATTTCAGTAAAGAATTCCCAGGATTCGGTTAGAACCATAATTGTTCATGCCACCCCATCGAACTTTTCTCGTGAAATATTCATGTCTCTCTGGTTTTAAACCAACACTACGTGGTCAGGTTTAATATAAAAAAACGTGCCGACATTTAATTTCACGTTCAACAACATATTTTCTTAATGGATTGTGTCATATGACCAACAAACTACTTAAAATTTCTTCACTATTTTAAATTCATTTGTTTTATCATCACACCCGACAACAATTATATTTAAAATATATTTTCTATTATTGCTGCCGACACTATTCGAATCACTTTTATATTTTAACATTACATGTACTACGAATAACATTAAAAAGCATGTACATATTGTTTTCAATGAAGAATGGTTAATCCACTCCAATAAGCAGTTTTTCCCCCTCATTATTGAATACCATCTGCAAGCATTGTTTACCACGGACTACAAAGCGTTAGTATATATTCCGTCATAAAACGCGTATCCAGTTAACATAGGTCGTGAACATGTAAGTTTGGTGTGAAGCCCTTTCCTACTGGAAAGTCACAGACTATTTATCAATTAAATGATCTGTTTACAGATCCAATGTGGAAAAGGAGCATAAACATAGGAAATTTGAAAACAATATAAATAAAATAAGGATGGCGATAACTGTATTTCTTCTTATTCAGTGTAAATGTATATAACCATGCATTATCTCCATTTTTTAGTGCAAAGTGCCTGTGGTCTGGCTTCTTTAAACGATTTCCTGTAGAATTTTAGGGCCAGGTGAGCTTATGCCGTACTGCAGCGTCCGTCGTTTGTCTGTCGTTCGTCGTCTGTCCGTCAACTTTTTCTTTTAAACGACTTCTTCTGAAGAACTGGAGGACCTAGGATCATGATATTTGGCCAGTAGGTACCTTGAATGGAGTGCTATAAAGATTCCTCATTAAAATGACCTTGCCGTACTTTCAAGGTCACAGTGGTCAAATATGTTCAAAAATTGAAACAACAATACATGTATATCCTAAGAACCATTTGGACTAGAGTCATGATACTTGAGTATGTTATGTAGACCACCAGTGCAAATCTTTTTATTAC